CGGTAACACACACCACTCGAGCACACTAACCCTCCTCTGATCGATACAGTACTAGAAATTTTATATGAACCGATATGMACATAACCTGGACTATTGCTCATAATGTACCTCCACCATACCTACCCCTGCCCCCTCCCTGCACACATCACTTTTACTTTATCAGCATGAAGCTTCTAGTCCTCGACAGCTGCAACATTCACCTCAGATCTCTATTTTTGCTCTACTGAGTCCATACCTATTATTTTTGTGTCGATGTCCCACATTCATCCATATSTGTGTCCTTACYTTATTATACATTTAGTGTCTTATTTCCTCCGCTAAGGGCGAGGTAATGTTTTCGGTCGTGTCCGTCCATCCGTCCGTCCGTCCGTCCGTCTGTCAACATTACTCAAAAACTTGTGGACGGATTGCCATGACATTTTTACCACTTGTGGATACTGGCTCAAGTAACACACCTTTAAATCTTGGTGGTGTTCCGGATCACGATGCAGATACAGGATTTTTTTTTCCTTTTAACACTCTGAGACCAGGAAAGCTGTGATGCTTTCACAGGGCGTGGTTTTCAAAGTGTCCAGCAGGTGGCACTGTAGTATCGGTGTGCCCCTTTGTAACTCTGTTACAGGATGGGGGAAGTTGGTCTTGGCGGAGGTTTGCACTCTCCGAGTGCTTCTAGTTTATTTATTTATTTATTTACAATGTTATTTGATTGAGCTATTTTAACGGATTACCTGTTTATTGTTGTAACTGGGAAGGAGAGTAACACAATATCAGTTCTCTGTATGTACTGCACATAAGCATTGACAATAAAACTACTTGAACTTGAACTTTCTAGTACACTACAAGTACATGGTGCCTTGATATACTTAAACTTATATTCAAGTATACTACATTTTAATTCTAGTCAAACAATAAATACTAAAAATCTATTAAACCTTATATTCATGCTTACTGTCATGATATACAGCGGGTAAAATAAGTATTGAACACGTCACCATTTTTCTCAGTAAATATATTACTAGAGGTGCTAATGACATGAAATTTTCACCAGATG